TTTTTTGGTGAGTTTCACGGTTTGACAGGTTTTTTTCAGCTACGAACACTCCCCGGGTATAAGAGATGGCCCTGTGAAAATTGCATCCAGATCGCTTGGGCGGTTTGGCCGCCTATAGGGAAGATACATACATACGAACTCAAATATATATTAAATATATATAATGAACTCAAAGTCCATCTTCAAGTAATAGGCATGTTAGAAATCAATTTTCCAGAATTTTGTAGCTTTTTTACATGAACCAGGGAAATCAGAATCTGACGAAGCAAGGAGACAATCTCGTTGTTACAATGGGTTGCTTATTAAGCATGCATTAAGCTTATTAAGCATGCATGCATGGAAACGCGCACTGCAACCCCCTGATAGAGACTAGAAATGTTTGGCAGCGTGGCGTTCTTTTTAAGCTGGAGTGAATATTCCTAACACAATTTTCAGTTCTTACTGAAACATACGAAGTGATTCAAGTGTGAATATGGAAAGGATGTTACGATACACCTGTATAAATACTTCACAAATTACGGAAGAAACACTACTGTTTCTGTTATATACTAAGCTATATATCAGTTACATGCCTAGCTGACACATGTCGTGAGAAGTCGATTATGTAAGTTTATGAAATGCATTCATACTCGGTTTGTGTTGGCAATTATATTTACATTTATATCTTTACAATAATATGTTGGATATATTTCACTAGCGTTTGTAAATATACGTGAACGTGTGACGATGATAATGGCAAGAAAATTGCGATTCACACACGCGCGCGCGCACACACGCACGCACGCACGCACGTAACGTACACACATACGCACATATATATATATGCTGTAGCGTGAGCGTGGTGGTGGTGGTGGGGGAGGGGACTTGATCCCGAAGCGAGTGGATTTCATGTGTAATGTGTTTTACCGAGGCATTTTTTCTCGGTAATTACTGGAATGCTGAATGGCATGGCTTACGTGTTTAAAAAAACTAATGCTGATTGACTGAATCCTAAATCCAAACAGAATTAATATTTGCCCTCGCATTTTACCACGTTAAAAAACGTCGTTGATAAATGAATTCCATTGAGAGATGAATTAAAATGAAATCTCGTCAGACTAAATGCAGAAATAACAAAAAGATGCAAGCATAGCAACGAAGAAATATAGGTAAGAACTGTCGGAAAGAAATATATTGAAGACAGTATATTTAGTAATAAATCCACATATAACAACTGGCCAACCTCTGTGGTTAGAACTATTGAATGGTTTAAGTTCTTTCCCTGCATGCATCTTACTCTGTCACCTTCCGGTTTCAGTTTACTTCGGAAGTTTACAAGAATAATATTTTCATTATTATTATTATTATTGATATTCTTTGGTGGTTCATTATATCAGTTTTTCCCTTCATATTCAGCAATCTTAGCCAGTTTAGCTTCGCTCACGAACTACTCATATACGCAACAATTGGCGCACTATTTCCATACACACACACTCATTACTTGCTTAAACCACTCATTTTATAATGAAATGCATTGCTTGCTTATTCAATTACAAATTGGCTGCAACGGTCTCGTTTCCGGATTATAAGTTATTATCAGGAGTCTATCAATATTGATAGACTCCTGTTATTATTAACGATAATAATCGTATAACTATTTTCTAACTAGAATAATTGGATTATTTATGAATATACCTGATAATATTAATCGTAATATTATTAATACCATCAAAAACAACCAGAAAAAACAACAACAACCGACTGTGATTATGAAAGTTATAGAAACAACAACAACAACAACAACAACGACGACGACGACGACAACAACAACAACAACAACAACAACAACGACAACAGCAGCAACAATAACAATAACAATAACAATAACAATAACAATAACAATAACAACAACAACAACAACAACTACAACAACGTCAATAAAGCAGCAGCCTAGTTCTGTTCAGTGCGCCTGCCGCACGATGCTGCATCTTCCCACTAGAGGACGCTTTCGATTGTCTTGCATTCTCTCGGATGAAACTCGGCATTTCTCGGCGGCTTGCGACAGCAGCGCCGCGCCGTGGCAACGAACGACTCGCGAATGGCGTTCATCTTCCACGCGTACAGGCAAGGGTTAATCACCGAGTTACTGATGGCGAGCGAGTAACTAAGAACGTAAGCCACGGACACTCGCTCCCAGACGATCGGCGTCGAGATCCAATCGTAATAACTACTCGTGAGTCCGACAGATGTCACCACCGACATCACGGTGAAGGGACTCCAGCAGAGCAGGAAGACGCCGGTGACGAGAAGGAGCGCCTTGGCGAGGTTGACGCTCTGCGCGCGTTCGGCCTCCATGCTGACGCTGCGCTGAAACAATCTGTTCATCGTCTGCCGATCGCGCCGGTAGCGGTAAAACAGACTCACGTACAGCGCACCCGTGACGACGGCCATGCCGACGTAGCTGGACGCCGTGGCGACGACGTACCACGGCGGCAGCATCGAGAAGTTGCACTGCGCGCCGTCGTACCAGAGGTTAACGCCGACAACGGGCAGCAGCGACCAGACGGCCGCCAGCGCCCACATCGCGACGAGTAGCTTGACGACTCGACTCGACCGCAGGATGACCTTGTGACGCAGCGGACGCAGGACGACGAGATGCCGGTCGACGGCGATGAAGAGCGTGCCGACGAACGAGCACACCCACGAGAGCAGGAAGAGCGAGACGACGACGAGGCACTGGTATTTAACGCTGGGCGCCGGCAGCAGCTGCAGGATGAGCACGACGCCGACGAGCGCGTCGGCTACGGCCAGGTTGCCGACGAAGAGGTAGGAAGCCCGGCGCGGCTTCATCGTCCACACGGCGACGATCACCGGCACGTTAAGTCCGATGCTGAGCACGATCGTTGCTATGACGACGATGCTGGCGACGCTGTTCACCCAGCACGAGCGACACTCGACGTCGGCGGCCGACGTCGTCATGGCGACGCCGTAGTCGCTGCTAACGTTGGTTGCATCCATGACGGCGTGCAGTTCGAGCAGATAGAGCGGGGGGGGGATTCACGCGTTGTTTATGGTCCGGGTAGTATTGTGTGATTCCTGCTCGACTATGTAGTAATGATGAGAGTGATGAGTCTCTCTTTCTCTTTCTCTCCCGCGCGCGGTCTCTCTCTTTTTTTCTCGCTATCTCGCTGTCGATCTAGAGCGCATGCAGAGAAGTGGCCGGCGCAGACGCTGATCCAGCTGATTGCCCAGTCATACACGTCGTTCACCTCGCGCTCTCTCTCTCTCTCTCTCTCTCTCTCTCTCTCTTTCGATCTCCTGCGTTCCTAACGTTTGTACAGCACGAATAAGAGTCGATCTCCTTCTGCTTTCCTTGATTTTGAACAGCACGGTTAGGCAGACACAGTAGTAAAGAAGATGGCACGTTTGTATCCGGTTGATTCGGCAACACCACCCGCGCGCTCTGACACGGACGAATTAGTAGTGATGCACGGCAGAACCACACTTGCCCTTGGCTCGGCAGCTGCTTTCGGCCTCGCTTGTAACTGTTGCCATGCGACTGTGTGGCGAGGGTTCGTCGGTGCCACTGCTGGTTAGACAGCTTTGCGGATGTGTCGATCGTTGCACGAAGCCGAGGAATTTCGTCACCGCGCGCTCCGTCGAGAAGTATTTTCGTAAGCGCCGCGTGCGGCCCCTAGTTCTGACACCCGAGCTCTTCCTTCACTGGTCGAGTTTCTCCCGGTTATCGTTCGCCTGGCGGATCTAAGGATGGACTCGGCGTACGATCCAGACCGCAGTGGTACTACTATCAGCCCCGTTACTTTGCCGTCGCCTGCTTCTTACGCGCCGGAATATAAACACCCCCTTGGTGGGTGACCAACAATCACATCGCTGTTATGGCGTTATCCTTCAAGCTGTTTGGAATTTTATGCATAGTTAGCGGTAGTCGCCGAGTGCGTGCACGTGTAGCTAATGCGTGTATATATACTGAGCGATGCAGGAGGCAGCCTTGCTAAGCTGGCTATGTCGAGGCGTTTGTTGCACCCACCCGATACACCCACGACGAGGCAAATGGACGGCTGTACACCCCACTTATGCACTTATGCACTTATGTGTTCGATTCACTTCCTGTTATATTATACGCGTACGTCAGTTTTTATCCCCATTCGATGCATTTCCTGTGTTTAAATCATTGCTAGAAATTAAACGTTTTTGCAGATCTTTCATCAGAAATCATCTCGAACAGTGATGTGCACAAACATTACTCGCCGCGCAGGCTTGCTTCTTTCGCTGTTGGCAATTTCGTAAGGTGTATGCCGCACGCAGTGTTGTTCCTTACTCTCAGAGTAGGACAGTATTGTCGCGGAAAATCCTGTCTCTGCTGGTGTTTTTCCTCAGTTTGTCCCTCGCTGTCTTATCTCTCGTTGCGGTTTCCGTGTGGGTCGTTCTATGATATCCACCGCTGGGCTCCTTGTGTTCGAGTGGAGAGAGGCGATGGTAGCGGTGAGGACGTATCGCCGGTGGTTCGCCGGGATGAAGTGACTGTCAACTATATATAGAAATATCTTTATATGTGTTATATGTTTATATATCTTTCTGTGTGTGCGTGCGTGCGTGCGTGCGTGCGTGCGTGCGTGCGTGCGTGTGTATATGTATGTATGACTATATATAGTCAGATCAGGAATACATAACAAACACACTGTGTGTTTATTGTGTATTTCCGGTCAGACGACTAACCTACAAACAAGTGACAGCATGAAAACCTGCGCAGCATCCGTCGACGACGATTCCGCGTTGGTAGCTCATGGAGCGCCGGAGACCCTTTGCGTATCCCTTTCACTGCACGTGCGCCTATCGCTTATATCTGTGCGTCAACAGTCCCCGCACTGTCTGCACAACCGCATCCGTCTCTCGGCGTCTGACGCTAACACTTGCCACCCTACAGCAGCAGTAGCCCTACGAGCTACTGCAGGGGTCACACAGTAGTTCCTGCCTGCACGTGTCGCGTGTTCAGCACGCGTAGCCTCGCGCCTCTACAAGCTACTCGCTATGCAACGTGGTGTAACGACCTGGTTTATGGCGGCAGTGTTGTAAGTAAGCGCCGAACACGCCCAAACGAAGTCGGTCTGCGTCTCGTAATCGCTGTATCGCGATGCTGCTGCTTCTGGTAGTCGGATACCATCAGGTTCCCTATTATCTACTCCTGATACCATCAATCGCCGACTTCAGTTTAATGTCTGTTTAGTTCCCATGCGGATCTTGCTCCGCCGCTTTAATAGCTTTCTCCTCCCCGTCTGTGCACATGCCAGAGGTGTGGCACAGGCTTCGATTCTCTCCGACGTGGAGTAACTTTAGGCATGTGCGAATCGCTTTTTGAAATGTACGCGAGCTAGCGTTTTGAAATATCTGACGAGCAGACTAGACCGTGTTTTTGTGATGCGCGCGCGTGTGGGTGGGCTGCTATTTTGAGCTGGTAACGTATAAACTGCAGGCTCGGTCTTAAATACAGAACCCTGGTTCATTTCGCGTAATTAAAGGAGGCATTCGATACAGGGACAGCTGCGCTTGGATCTGGTTTAAATTGTTGGCATTTTTTTATTTGTCGCTAGATACTTTGAGAGGCTGTGAGCTAGGGACTTTTTTTGTTTATTTGTTTATTTGTTAGTATCAGCTGGAAACGGTACAGTCAATGGATGTTTGATTTACTGCTGTAAATGTTATGTAAGCTGACTCTGGTAATCATTTAATTTATTTATTTATTTATTTTTTAACGGCGGTACAAGTAAGAACATGAGCTTAAAATTTTCTCGCCGCTAGTGTGATACCGTGTCCATGAGAACCAATCCAACGGCAACCAGGGACTTTTGAAATCAGTCTAATAATGATGTATACGGCGCAATCTGCAAAAACCTTTTAATATCGCAGTGTAAAACATAAAAGAAATGCGCAAAGAGAACCACAAGAGATTTCTATGGATTGCGGTTGTAATCCGAAAATAAGAAACGCATCATTCTTACGCATTATTTCCACTTGTCTATTGGTTAGGATATCTATATCTGTCCACCTAGGGAATACGTAGGGTGTAAATAGTAGGGTAATAGTAATGTAGGGTCCTTTCTACAACTTTGGTTACAGCTTCTAGCAAGATTGGGTTCGAAGTTTCTCTATAGCGTGTATTTTGTTAGTTCACAATGCGAGGTAATTGTTCCAATCAATATACCTTATAGCGTTACCAGTCTGTGCTCGCTCAGTAAAGAGTGCCATGAGACGTATACGTGACATTGATATGCTTGTTTCTTTATGAAATTCCAGGGCCGTTTTCATGCTTAAGTGAGCGATTAGGAGGTATAATTATCAAGAGCTACCTTCTTTATCTGCTCTTGATAATATGTACGTCAGCGCATGGTACTGCCAGTCAGTTTACTCTTCAATTCCGGCTGTGTGGTGAAATAGTACGAGTTATGAATGGTCCTGTTAATTATTGTGGTAATGCGGCATGCGAGCCTGGCATGGCTACACATGCGCCAGACCGATAAATTGAGCCGAGAATTGTTTCAGTCTATCTCTATTCTAAGCGTGACATCGCAATGTGTAACAATTATTGGGTATGTTTGCCTGGCTGACTTGTATATGCGCGTGCCTCAACTCACGATTGGTCTTTGCGAACCCGTAGCAGCAGTTGAATTGATACAATTCTAAAATGCTCATAATCTCACACGATAGAGAGACTGGACTTGTATAAATAATTGGATTTTTAATCTGTTTTTAAAATGTACTTTTACTGTAGAATTTTAAGTTTTGAAATTTTAAAACAAGTTCAATACGTTTTGTGTCAAAGCAAGTAGAGCATTTCGCAACTGTTTTTCAGTCACGTTTGATCGTAAAAATCTATAAATGAATTAGCTCGCCTATTGGCGGTCAAACCGTTATTACATCGATATAAATAAACCGTAGTCATATCAATAATGTTAACAGAGTTTATACTTACTATAGTCCGAATACCTGCTATGAAATATCCTTTGATTGGATATCTTTTTTCTCATATTTAGTAAGTAAACCCTGTTCTTTTAAAGTGATTACGTCACCGTAAATAGTAAAAGTAAAAACATTATGTGCACTTTTTCACAAAATGTAAGTGATTCTGTTCACTTTTTATGGTTAAATTGCTGCATTATACTTTCTATTTTGCTATTCCGTTCGATGTGAACAAATCCTCGTGACTCATACATAGCCCATAGCAAGCATTTAATGTCATTATCAATATATAAAATCGCCCAAATTTTTTGGATTTTCAACTAGTTGGTAACTTATCAGGTAAGAATTTGAGGATACATTTAGTGCCGTTAGTACTTACTTTTCACGTAAAAAAATTTGCGACAAAAATATTACAAGCATACACCATAGAAAATTTGTGACGTTGTCAATTTAAGAACGACTTCTATAGCATATATTTTATGATTATAATATAATGTTATATTATTTATCATGAGTATGCGATCCTGGCATTTACATTTTAATATCGCTCTCGCTGCAGCTAATAGTGGGCTCTGGCGTTGAATTTTTCACCGGCACCCCGCCATTTTAGTAAAGCGTTTAGATTTCCATAATGTTATCTAATTTCGACAGCGAAATATCGATTAGAATATGGATTTAACATTAAAATAAAGACCTAAACGTTTAAGAAATCTACTAAAAAATGTTGAAATCAATGCTGGTTAGGCATAACCGCATATAGGTACATATACTCACGGACACACGCGCGGACACACACACACACACGCGCGCAATTCTTGTTGGTTGGCACCGGTTTCCATCGAGCTGGATTATACTTAATCGATTACGTGCGGTTATGAAATTCTGAAATTCGTGAATTGTTTAAAAGCGTGGCCAATAGATGGAGCCAATTGACAGCTAACAAGTTGGCAGCCACTAAGCGAGGGCTTCAGGGATATGTTATCGTTGGGTTATCGTTGGAGTCAGAGTTCAGCCCAAAACAACACGTTCACGCTTGCTGGATCTATTTATCGACAGTAGTACTAAAGTGGCTTAACCGGCGTGTACAAAAATAGCAGCTATGATTTCAACGTCAGCCTTTCCAGAAAACGTAGCTCCAACGTGGGAACAACACGTGTACGCACGTGAAGTCATGTATGGTCACGTTACTCTATAGCCAAAGCCCGCGCTGACCCAAGGTCGTTTGAGCTTCCCACGTGAGTAGGATTGTACAGGGGACCCACACGCCCCTATAGTGGCTTCTTCGTTGAAAACGATTGAATAACTAATCTCGATCAGAGGAGTGATGGTTTTGCTGGCACATCGTGGCATGTTTAGGCTATTT